CTTCATTTACTCTATACTTCTGAATGAATCGAGTCTTTCAAATTAAAGTACTTCGCCATCAAATGGTGCCTGAAACCTCAGAGATATTCACCAGCCAAGCTGCCAAAAAAAAAAAGATAAATCAATAACTGTTGTTACCACACTCGTGACAAGACGAAAAAATCATCTTTCCCTTTTTCTTTACCGAGCCCAAAACTTACCATCTCTCTTATTTCTATCTACAAACCTTACGCTATCGACATTGCTGATACTAGCAGTATGCAGGACGCGTGTCATATGAACTTCGTAATAGACCTCCCTCACCATGGAGTCTCTGTGGCTCTGTGTTAGAGCGCATCGGAGCGCGGAATCCGAAGGAATCCGTCTTGTCACGCTCGAGAGGAGACAAAAAAAAATATCTTTCTCAATTAACTACCTGTAGTTCGGTGGTTTGCCAGCAAAACACTGATCTAATTCTTGATGTTTGACGGGTTTAATTTATTATGCAAATCCTTAAGTAACAGCAGTTACACGAAGAACGAGAAAAAAAAGAGCCTGGATTTAACCACGATGAATTCAAATTGATTTCGGTTGATACTGAAATAAATTCGAGGGATTTAGTTTTTTCGTTTTTGTTTTCGAAATGAATACAATTCATATTAATTTTAGCTCATCTCTTAATTGTTTTCAAGGCTATTTAAGGTTAAATGTACAGGATATAATTTTGGATTGAAGCAACAACAAGCGGCTAATCTCAACGCTCCCCTCAGAGATCATGAAAAAAATTTGAATAATACAACCGCACCAATTGAGCTTCTGTATTTTACCAGGTCTGTATCAATCTTTTCAATCGACAAAATACCAAGCTCATCTTTTATTTTCATAAAAGGAAAAAGCTAAATCCTGGTCGCACCCCCTAAACTTTAATATATTTGAATAACAATTCTTATTCCCTGAGGGGTTTGCGAGAAAGAAAAGCTACTAATTTTTTCTTCGGCAACATCTATTTTCTAAACTTGTTCTCTTAAAAGAAACTTTGACAAAATGAGTCCTCTAAAATATTTCAGTTTTGTCAAGAAAATTTAAACAAGATTTCCGCAGAGTCCATCCTTCATTATTCATTCAGTTCTTGGACTAAGAAAACAATGGCGAAAACGATTGAATGCCGTTGGGATTATGGCTTTGTTTTGCAACAGCACGAGGCTGTGCGGAAATCTTTCTCAAACTTGAACAGTCCTAAATATGAAATCAAGTGATTCAACAGAAACATCTTTTGCTAAAAGGTTGATTCCAGTTTTCGAAAATTACAACCTAATTTTTTGGAGGGTTTTATAGTATCGTAAAGGGAAGGTTCAAACTGCGAAGATAAATTTTTACAACTTCTTTGCCATGGTAAATAAGTATTAAAAACAAGCCATATTTAATGGCACATTTTTTTTTCAATTATTTCAACTCAAAATCCTTAGAGTTTCCATGAACTACGTCTTTCTCATGAAGGCGTTAAGGTTACAGCATGGAGCTGGTTTATTGAAACGCACAGAATAATTCTAATATAAATTTGATAAGAATAGACTTCAAGGTTTTCTATGAATGAAGTTATTAATTTGAATTAAAATTACCAGTGCATTTAACTTATCAACAATCCAACAAAGAATTGTAGAAAAAGACATTTAATTGAATATCTCTTTTGGATGACAGTCTTAAAAAAAGGTAAGTGTTACTTGTTCATTCAGTGATCTCAGAACATTGACCTCATCACGAACCGAGGGGAAACGAGTTCTAACAAAAAATACTGACAATTTTTCGGGTTTTGAAGGTTACTTTGAACAATTAGAATCCAAAGCTGTAACTGAATTAAGTAAAAGAATCGTGACTGACAAAAAAAAATCAGCTGTAGGGGCTATAAAATTAATCAGTTTGCCTCCCCTTTTCTCTTAGTTCAGTAATCTTTATTCATTTTAATTAAAGGTAGCCTAAGAATCATATATACCCCGTCAAATGGTTACGAATTTTTAGCATTCTCTACGAAGAGCCTGCCAAAAAAATGGGATTAACTGGCTCCCTCTCTCTATTATTGTCAAAGGAGGATTTGACATACTAAACCGTTACTACGGTTATATCTTTACGATGTTCGCGGGTCATGTTTTGGTGAAAAGTGTTTTGCCATCAACAGATACAAATTTGTAGAACTAATTTATAAAAAAAAACCAACCATAGCAACATAAAAAAAAAGTGCTATAAACTGCTGAAAACCACCTCGGTCAGAAATCCAAGAGATCCTCATTAAAGATTTTGACTTATTTCCTTGTTTGCATTTTCCTGAATTTTTTATTCTTTTTTTTTATCGCAGTAAAAGACATCCGTTAAACCTAGGTTGGAGCGTTCAATAGAGACCAGAATTACAAGCGCAGATAGTTAATTTGTCGAAAATAAATAGTAATGATGGTGATAGGACATCGGAGCGCGGAATCTGAAGGTCTGAGGCTTGATTCCTCATGAGAACTCAGCATTTTTTCTTTGTCCCACGCTCGTGACAAGACCTAAAAAACATCTTTCTGGCCTCTACTTCAATACCGCGCAAAAAATTTACCATTTTTCCTCAGTATTCAATAATGATAATTATAAAATAACTAACCTTGTTAAAAATATCCTGGTTTCCTTTCCATCTTTGAAATTCTTCATACCGGGATACTTTCCTACTGTACTTAATAATGTACCAAAGATAAGGGAAGAGAGAAACATCATTTCGAATTCAGTACACAACAACCATCTTTATCTAGGAACTTTTTAGTCTTTATGATAAAGATGATCTATTTTCGGACCTAAAAAGTCAATTAGAGCCAAGGTGTTTCAATGAACGAGACAACTTAAAAGTTTCTTGCGACGATCGAGCAATTAGACATCAGATCAGGTTCCAAGCCCATTTTAAATGTTGTTACTTAAATTGTGCGTCGAATTGCTATAAAAATCTCACTCCTAATTTTTTGTCGAGATCGGAAGTAAGGGACATAACAAGCGCGCTAATAGGCAAATTAAAGATGAAAAAGGCATAAGTAGAAATAGCTTATCGATAGTATCAAAATAATTACAGAGGTGGGAGACGCGAGCAGTATGACTTTCCTGCTGTTGCCGTAAAAATCGCGCGCATGTATGGTTCAGTAAGAAGTGACTGTCATGGCGGACGCCATTTAGGAGTTCTACTTCATTTTACTTTGTGCGCTATATAGTTTCGTTCCTAAAATTTAACTTTCAAGGGCAGCAACAGAAAACACTGACGGCGTATTTCAATAAGAAGTGCATCTTTACACTGTTTATTTACCTTAGAAGATAAGTTGTGGCAAACATACTTTCAATCCTCGACCTCGAAGCTCAAGTAAACCACTGAAATCAGCAACCTCGCAACCTTGATAAAACTGACGATATCCAGGGTAATAACGTTGAAATTATGACTTTCTTTGCACCAGAAAAGCTGCAAAAGACGCCATAACTTCTTGAAGCTCGTGAGTTCTTTCCACGTGCAAGACTAGTAGCAAACATGAATATTGATTTTCAAAGGTATTTGTTATTCAAATGAGTTTGGCCACTTCGAGAAACGAACAGGAAATTATCGACAAGCTTTACGGTTAGTTTCGTCGATCGTAAAATAAAATAGGATGGTAAGCTATCGGCTGATTTTAAACTCAGTGAAGCCCAGCAGAGCCCCAGGGGTTAAATATTATCCTAGAAGATTTTTTTTCCAAATTCTTTTCCATCAGCTAACTAAACTTCCCACCATCTCCCTCTGTTCTGCTTTTGCCTTAAGATTTCGAATTCGTGCGCCCCTGTCGATGAAGTAGAAACAGCTGTTTGTAATCACTTTTCCATCGTTTAGAGAAACGCATCGACACTCAATATCGTTAAGCTACTGCCTATATCCCACGGGCCGTTTTCGCTAGTTGCTGCACAAACTCGTGGAAGGAAGTGCCCCACTCTTCATTTTAACTCTTCGTTTCCAGGGCCCTAACCTTTTCAAGCAAACTGCGTGCAAGATGGAGATATCGATCTACGATAGTACGGTAGGGTACACTTAAAATCACAAAGGGGACATTGGTACCTCCGGTTGACGTCAAGGCATGAAATGATCGAAGGATCAGAATTACCCGGAATTCTGGTGTTTTGGGGTAAAATTAAAATGATTCAAAAATCATGGAATCACTGACAAAAAAATATCCTTAGTTAAGAGCGTATACAAGTTTTAATCTTCAATAAAAATGAGCCTAATAACAACGAATTAACTTTTAATAAGGGCAATAATATATAATGTAGTAAAACTAATACATTTAACCATTTAATATGGTGAGTATGCAGGTTTTTAGAACAATGGAGCTGCCCACGGTGCAAGGCTGGTCGGAAAATTATCTTTCTATAAAATATAGCATTAAATAAGACAAACTGCTTCTTCAAAATTTGCATGTTATTCCAGTTGTGTTCACACATCCTCCATCTTACAGTAAATAGTTTGAAACCGGGGGTAGCATGTGATAGTGTAGTCTGATCGCCCGGGTGAGTGTAATCCTGAGAAAAGGACGGAAGTCATCATCAGAGTCAAGTAACTTCCGCTCAGGTTGTCGAAACTTCAATGACCACTACTGACAACACTCCTTCTCAAGACTGTTGGGACGAACAGACTACACTATCACATTTTCCATTTTCCTAATTACCCTGATCTTCCCTTACTTGCTTCGCTTTTTCAGTTATTCCCGAAAACTGCCTGCATGCAACAGGCATCGCCCTCTCTCAGTTGGAATTTGCTCATAACATGAACTCTGGATTCTGGATATCCCAAAACCTCAGTCCCTTGTACAACTTGTAGACAGCTTGTCTCTCATACAAAACGTTTTACAAAAGGTGTAGCGCTAAGGTGTGTTTTAGACACATACAGTATCTTCCTAACATTAGAAAGCCATGATAGCTCTACAAAGTTTTATAGGTGGAAAAAAGGGAGCTCTTTGCCAATAAAATAATCAACATGGAGGCAGGGAAAGGATGAGAGGGGTGGGCAGGGAATTTAGAGTCTACGTCTTTCTGTACCCTGTTCTCCCCTCCCCCACTGCATCTTTGACTCCAATCTTCCTTAACAAATTTTGGCAACTACTTTTCCAGCTGAAGTTGCAAATTTTGCAATCTTTGGCTTAACAGGTCAAATACATAAATATCTGCAAGAACTATTTATTTTTTTAATATTGCACAAAACTTCTCTTCTCATTCTTTTATCTTTCCTTTGCGAATAAAACTACAATTTGCCAAATGACAGTTTTGAAAAAGGTTCAGCTCAGAGCCATGCTTTAGTGCAAAACACTTCAGATCTGTTTTTGTTTCCTGACCTCTTAGGGGTAGTTATTTACACAACGTCTAACCCAAACCACGGTTTTAAGCAAGCAGTGAGCCTCAGGTATTCTCTATAAGAAGGTTGATTTAATTAAATACATGTTATTTCCACTGTTAGCTTTTGAACCTCTTGACACTGTTCACATAAAAAAAAAGTTGGTTGGACTAAATTGATGATAGTTTAGAATGAGGTTTTGTTAAACAATGGCTAAGCTTTGTTTAAATAACCGGCCTTTAACCCTTTAACTCCCATAATTGACCAAGAGAGAATTTCTCCCTACAATATCAATACAATATCAAGCAGACAAGTGATGAGAATAGAGGAAAATATTAATTTGGGGATTATTAGTTGATCCAATACCAAATTCTCCAAATTAACATAACAAGAACTATACAGCAAACAGTAGGGAGAATTACAAATGAGATCTTGGGTCCACACCCCCCCTACCCACTCCTCTGCAGCCTGCAGTAACCCCCTACCCCTATCCTGCTGGTCTCTCAACCTACCTAACCCCTCTCTCCCCCTTTCCCTCTTTGCAAAAATGACATGGTGCAGCTCTTTCAACAAGTGCTCGGCTGAGATAATATGAGCAAAAAATGGTGACTAGCTATTGATTCAATTGTGTTGCTACAGGTGATACAGCTGATGTACTAGGCTGTGGTATTTGTTGTTGTTGTTGCTGTTGCTGAGCCAATGTTTGAGCTTGTTGAAGCTGCTGGAATTCTTCCTGTTCAGCCTATAAGTAATAGTATTAGAGCTGAGCAGAGTCCAATTCAATCTGTAAGCGTATGAGTGATACCAAAATTGGACAACTGTGCAGTGAGAGTCAAATTTGTTTATCACAGACCTGTATGATTACAAACTAAATTGGACAACATGAAGTCTTATTACCAATTAATCATAAAAACAATTACAATTTCAGAGAAACGAAGAAGAGCCAAGGTATAAAAGGAAGGGAAAATATGCTCCAAGTTAGGAGTCTGTGCACTGTTTCTATGGTGTTTGAAATCAAGATTGTGATTGGTTGTTTTAAACTACAACTTTGAATGTGATTAGTTGATTTTAAACTACAATTTGAATGTGATTGGTTGATTTACACTACAACTTTCAATGTGATTGGCTCATGGAATTGTCCTAAAACAAACTTTTTCAAACCAATCACAATTGAGGATATTGTGATTTTTATGATTATGTACAAAAAAAAAAAACCCATGTGACCAAGGTCCCTATCATTACTCAGAATTGTTAATTTAACAAGTAACCCTGTATGCTAATACAGTTGACATCTAAACCAATTGGGTTTTCATCAACCACATTAAAAAAACTCCCATGTTGATCAACATATAACATCTCCTTGAAATTCCAATACGTAATCTTGTAAACAGGAAATGAGAACAAACTACCCAATCAGATAATGGTTCTGAACTTGATTTAGCACTATACCCTACTGTCTTTACAAGGAAATTCATGGTCATAAGTAGAGAGAATTACTAGTTGGATCATGGGAGAGTTCTCCAATCTCTGACACCTAATGCATGTACTGTACCTGAGCTTGCTTTATTCTTGCTTGCTGAAAGAGTTCCTGCTGTTGCCGCAACAACTCTTCTTCAGGGATACCCTGAAAATGATATGGATGTAAATAAAAAAAGTATTATGGAGATACAACAACCAAAGATGTTATACATTTGACCTGACAAAAATTGGCAGCAAAAAAAATCTGCCTCTTTTGTGAAGATTCACACCTCAGTCTAGTCAAATTTGCAGAAAGATTTTCTTCCAATTTGGTAACCTGCAGTACAGTACAAATGACTACCTAACGAATCTTTTGATACATTAAGTTTATAAACCACAATTACAAGAATAAATAAACAACCCTGTACAGTCAAAAAAATTGGAATTTCAAGATAAATCTAAGAATATTCCCTGGTTAAAATGTTTTTGCTAATTCCTTGTCAACATTCTGATTAAAAAGTTGTCTTTGAACTTTTGGCCATAATTGAGAGTGGAATGGTTATGATACTGCATGAGTATGTCTATTCTTACCAGATTCTCCAGTCGTGTGCTGGCTCTTCTTTTGTTCTGTCAAGGAAATAAATGTTAGTTTCATTCTAAAAGTCAGAGACACAGTGGCTTAGCAGTTAATTCACTTTTGCTTTTAGAGAGGTCCACGTTTGAGATCTAGTTGAGTCATTGTGGTGTATTCCAGGGAAACACACTTTAATTTGACAGTGCTTCTCTCTACCCAGCAGTAAAGATGGGTAGGCCATGATCTCAAAGGGAAGAGTAAAGAAATGCTGAGGGGTGACTTTCTAAAAGACTACCATCCCATCCAGGGGGAAAGGGGAGGAGGGGTAGTAATTCCTCTTGTTGTTTCACACTATAGAAATAGGGATAGGCTCCAGCTGGCTGGGTGGGTCACTTGGTGCAAGAGACAGCAAGATCTATATTACTCATTACATCAGACTACAGATTATAAGGTCTGGACTGGATCACTGTGTTGTGTTCTTGGACAAAACACTTTACTTTTATGGTACTACCTAGGGGTGTAAATGACTAACAGTGCTTCTGTCTACCTAAGGATATAGATGGGGTTTAGGTCACTATGACTCTGTCTACTCAGGGGCATAAATGAGTACAGGTCACAACACCTCTATCCACCAGGGGTATAAATGGGCTCAGGTGACAGTACTTCTGTCTACCCAGGGGTACCAATGAAAACCTGCCTTGAGAAACAAATGCATAAATTCAATTCACTTACTGCAGCTTGTGTTTTACATTCTTGAAGAACTGATCTCACTTCTTCAATGTAGGAAGTAAAACCCAATCCCTTGAAAATTAAAAAAAAAAAAGGTTCATTTATTCAGAATATAATTATTTCATTCAAGGAATGAAATTTGATACCAAACAAGAAAAACTAATTATCACCCTTAACCCTTTCACTCCCACTAGTGACCAAGACAGAATTTCTCCTTACAATATCAATACAATCTAAAGTAAACAAGTGATGAGAATAAAGAAACATATCAATTAGTGCATTATCATTTGATTCAATAGCAAATTCTCCAAACTAAAATTATAAGAAATGTACAGTGGACAATAACGAGATTTACTGAAGAGATCATCAGAGTGAAAGGGTTAAGTTATCATTTTAGATAAGACATCTTAACCTTATATTATAGAGAGCATGCATCATGTAAACCTTGCAACCTTTAGTGTTAAAAGAAGAGATAATTTTTCAGAAACATGTATCACCAACCCAAAATAACAGAGTCATTTGAGCAAAAGATATAAAAATAAATGCTAAAAAACTTGGAGGAAAAATCAGAGAAAAACTTCCTTCTTCCATGAAGTTACTATTTCAAATCCCTGTTAAAGAGTTTTCAATGAGATGTGAAAGAAAAAACAGCAGAGTTACTCATCAAGAGGATAAAATTAACCTTTTATACCATAACTTCAGTAGTCTGGATGTTTTAACAACTCTGTTAACCCATCAGAAGCCAACAATGCCGGTAAAACTAGATTAAAACTATCAGACATAACATTCACCTGTAAAGCTTGAAAAACATGCTCTGGTAGAATTGTCTTCTTCATCTGACGATTACAAATTTCATTTGCCTCTGATGAAACTAAATGAATGAACTCTGCAATGCAAGAAATAATACCAAACCATAAATATAATGTATGTGTACAGTGAAAAAAAAGAATCAGTTCAATGGCAGGCATCATTAGAATTATTATCTTTAACCCTTTAAGTCCCACTGGTGACCTAGATAGAAGTTCCCCTTACGTTATCAGTATGATATCAAGCAGACAAGTAATAAGAATAAAGAAAAATATCAATTGGGGGATTATTGGTTGATCAAATTCCAAATTCTCCAAACTAACATCACATAAATTGTATGGCAGACAGTAAGGAGAATTATTCATGAAATATTGGGAGTTAAAGAGTTTATGCCATCATCAAAATTAATATTGACCCAAGTTGGTCAAAATAAAATTTTATAATCACCTGTACAGCAGTTTAAAATAAGTTCTCTAGCATCATTAGAAACTCGCACATTTGGTATCATCTCCTTAATCATCTTGTTAACAGCAGCTATCAAGAATAAAGAATTTATCAATTGAAGATATGCTGTATCCATTGATGGAACAGTATAACTTTAAATATGAGGAGTAAATTTAAATTTCAGCAGGACTATTTCGAGCAGGAAATTACAGTTTGATTGTACGCCACAATGTATCGAATACTCTAATCAAACTCCTCGATCTCAAACCCGTGTTTTGGAGATGAATAAATAAGACGCTATGTAGATGTACATGAAAGCCAGTCAACCTCACTTCTTGACTTGAATGACAATTCAATTCACAGGACTAAAAAAGTTGTCTAGAAACCTAAACTGGTATCCAATCTTATTCATTTTCTTGTTCATAAAAATTCAAACGCAAAAATACTCTATCGATCTAACGTTCGCTCTCATAATCAAACAGGGAAGTAAGCTTGTAAAAGTGACCGAGAAGGACCAATTTAGGGACAAACATCATATTTTTACGGCGAAACAAGACATTTATGACTAGAGTATGAAATTTGTATCCGATAATTATAGAAATAAAGAGTAACGTGTCTCAATAATCACATAAATTTATCACAAACCTCTTGGCAATGTCACATCATCGTCAGCTGCGGCTTCCGCCATCTTGGACTATAGAAATACACCAGAATCCATCTTATATCACCTATCTATCGTAGCGAAATGCCTAGTCAGCGCGGGCTCATGTTAATGACACGCTTCATCTCCTTGTGAGCTGACGCACACGATGTAAACACCGAAGGCTTTTCTCAAGAATTATCAGAAGATAGGATATAACCGTGGAGTAAATTGCTTTAGGAGAAACATACAAGAGGTAAAAAAAATAGAAAACTGTAATCGCAAGTAGGATCTAAGTGGGGAACTGGATAGCACCAGTGCGAGCTGTTAATTTAATTTTGTCAATTCTCTGAACCTTTTTTCGGATAATATATTTATAACGCAAAGAAAAGATTCATGCTTATCACTTCATAGGGCTGTATAGTTTAGGGGAGTGCAGTTTACTATAGAAGACTGGCACTGGAGATCGGGGAAGAATAGCGGTCCCGCAGTAAAAACAGTTCGCTGTTCCCATTTCTGAGACCCAAAGACGCGCCTAGCCCTTTCTGGGCGATATTTGAGTATGTAGATGCACTTAACTTACGAAAAGATAGAAAAAAATATATTGAATGAGTTCGGCCAAAAAATAGAGGACGGTAGTTCGTGTAGTGTGATCGTCCGGGTGAGTGTAGTTCTGAAAAGAACTGTTGTTGGTGACTGACGTTTCGACTATCTGTGCGGTAGTCATCTTCAGAGTAGGACGGTAGAGAAAAGACAGTGTGAAACTGAGGCTGCTCCATGTATTTGGCTGCCCTTAATCCTTTAACCCCCAGAAGTGATTAACAAGTAACTTCTCCTTAAAATATCTAAACATTATCCAGCAAACAGGTCATGGGAATATTCATACTTATCAGGTGGAAGTGGTTATCTCGATATGACACCAAATTCTCGTAACTTATTTACAAGGAAATGTGTAGCAGCTAGATAGGAGAATTAACAATCAGAACTGGGGAGTTAAAGGATTAAGCTATGGAGCGATGTCGCCAAATTGGATCCACACCAAATGGGACAAAAGTAACCTTTATTAATCTTTTCATACAGATGAATTATCACAGCGAATTGCCTTATTGAATTTGTCTGATTACCTTGCTAAAAGAAATGTATAGTGGTAAATGTTTTGGCAGAGAGCCAATGGGACATCAATAAATAACAAAGACTAATAGCAGCTGATAATATCTCATGCACAGTTGATTGATTGACCAAAATTGATGGCTTTTCATCCTTTTTGGGTCTCCAAAAACTAAAACGATCTGAAATTATCTCCAAATCGAGCAAAATGAAGATAGCGAAATCTAGCGAGATTCGTGCATCTCGGGCTTTTCGTCGAAAAATGATAAAAATTAGTTTATCGCGAGAATCCGATGAAAATTCATCCAATTTTGAAGAAGCCTACTGTTTTGGGCGAATTGTCGGACTAAAATTTCGTGCAGAGGCAAATGTAACTTCGAACTTATGGGCAAAAAATCTCTCCAGCACTTCGCTAAGTCTCTGTTCACGGAGGAAATGCTCCGGCTAAGAATGAGATTAGTCTGGCGGACTCAATCTCTTAATTAAATGCTTGATCCTCTCTTTTCTTAGTACAAAAGGGCATCAGGATCCTCGTAGAAATTCTCAGCGGCAGACTTCGTCTCTCCATCGTAATTGCTAACAAAGAAACCTGGTATGATAATTTTAGACCACGGTCGACTCGCCTTTGAAGAACGCTCGTTGATGTCTGGCGGACAAGTCTTGAGCCTCTTAAGCTGAGAACGATGTCTCTTTGCCATTTGTGAATAATTTGTCTTGAAGTTACAATAAAATTCTTCCACAAAAGTCCTCATTTCTTGGAGATGTTTGGTGTTTTCTCCATCTGGGTCACCTGTTCCACAAAAACGAATAATATTTGCTGGAGAAGTAATATGATGAATGATACTTCCTTGGCCCTCTTCATACGCAGATATCTAATTGCAAACTTTTTTAGAGAACATTGATTTCTCAAAGTGAAACGAAAGAAGTAAATAGAAGAACGACACGAAGATGAAATATTTGGTAACTTTTTCAAATTGGTATTCTCCCTCTCATTTCATTCGAAAATCACGTTCACATTAGAAACACGCTCTTGAATAAAGACGCCACCGGCTCACAGGAAAGACGAGCTTTGGAGACGCGGTGGTCGCCCTAAGAAGACTCTAAATTATGCACTAGTAACCATTCCCTCGCAACTGTTCGTAACTGAGCCTATTACAAATGCTCGCACGGGGTTGCTTGGAAAGATGCTTCGACTGAAAGCTGAAAGCCTCGCCTTTGGTTTGAAAAAGTAGCAGTACTGCTTGTTGTATTTAATACTCACCGAGGTGTTCTTTCTTTCGCCCAGAAAACCATTGTATGAATTCCAATATAAGTCCCAGTAGAATTGCCAGCGACACGACTCCAGCCGCAGTGTACGTAAGATACCTGAACATGGTGTTCTTCGGATCAAACAAACCTGACGCAGTTTCCACACTTTCAGAGACGCGATCTTCCTATCGAAATGAAAAAAAAAGGAAATTAATGTCGAAACGACGTAGTGATTTGGTGGGACGCTACGAGAGAAAAAGGATCGCGAAGAGGCTTGAAACAAATGGTAGCAGTAAGCCGGTCATTCGTTAGGTGATCTCATCATTCATCAGCTATCTAATCGGTTGGTCAGTCGTCGTTCGTTCGTTTATAGGGTTATTTGATTGTTCGGTTGTTCAGTCGTTCGTATGCTGGTTTGTTCGTAGGTCGGTTTATTCGTTTGTTCGTTCCGTCTTCGGTTCGTTCGTTTTTTCGGTCGTTCACGGTTCGTTCGTAAATTCGCTTGTTCGTTCGAGGTTCGTTTGTTTGTTCGCTCGTTCCAGGTCCTTAATCACATCTAACATACACGCAAAAGGCAAGATCAAAATTTTTTCACGTAAATTGCCTTTATGGCGTGGATAAACTTCCCAATGTGCTCAAACATCTCGGCCTTGTGACTCTGCATGTAGCTTTTGGAGCACTGCAGTAACCTGGTCGAGTTACCAGCCAAAACCACTCCGTAAGTAGACTCGTAGTCAAATATGGTGTGGATACGAATCCGAGGGTCTTTGAATTGATCTCTTTTAGTTCCAGCTTCGTAAGAGTCGATCAACATTCCCTGAACTTCTTTTTTGATTAGCGCCTCGTACACTTCGGAAAATGTTTCATAGGGATGTTCTGTAAGATAAATGCGGCACTACGTTTAATTTCGAGCATGGAAGGGCAAGAGATGAAAAAAAAACAACAAAAAAAAAAAGAAATGTAGACTGAAAGGAGAACGAGGCGAGAGGCGGAGGAGGAGGCTTCGTACTGATAAGGCCCATATCTGCTACGGCTTACCGTTATCCACAATGGCATTTCTGGCCACAGCTAATCGATATTCTGGAGTGTCATGAATTACTGCCACCTGTATGTAGTAACAAAATAAATGCATGTGGTCAAAATTTTATGATAAATTGTCCGTTATTCCCCATGGCTTCGCTCTTAGAAAACTGTTCACATCTCGGAACAGATACTGTCCGTGGACAAATATCCGTGTATATTTTGCGCTAAATGGAGGCTATTGTTTTTGTATACCGTATAACGAGTTAATGGGACGCTCCAGGTAACCAGTTTGAAATTGGCAAGGTTTTAATTTACGTTCACGGATCGGACGACCTGGCGATGGACATATGAAAAAGAGACGTGAAAGAGTAGAGTCAGTTGGGAAGAGCTAGGGGAAGGACTAGCAGCTTATATAAAAATATAATATATTTTAAAAAATAGTTAAATTACTCAAAAAAATCAAATCAGATATACCTTAGTTCCGTACAGAACAAGGTTGTTTTGAACTACGAAGAGTGAAACGGCAGAGGTCAGAGCACTGCTCAGTATGCTCATCAAGACGAGTCCAATTAGGATCCAAACAATTGCGAACACCTTGGACCAGTAAGCTGACGGAACTTTGTCACCATATCTGTCATCGAAAAAAAATGAGGAGAGTTTTTTTTCATTTTGCTGTGAGCTGCTGAGACGTGAATGAAGACAAAAGCAAATTCAATTCTCTACTGCGAGCAGTTTTCAATTGAATGTCGAAACATCACAACCGAAGCAATCCCAGTGACCAATCATGATCAGAGTTAAGGATTTCACTTTCACAAGCCAGTAGGAACTTAACGTTAAAGCGAGGAAACGGCTTGAAGCGCTTTAAAACGCGAATGATCAAGGAACGATTGTTTTAAGATTGAAACGATTGTTAAAACGATTGTTTTTTTTCTGACTGGTTGAGAGATGGCGCGAGTTTTCTGGACCAATCACAGAGTAAAGTAAAACTAAAGCACGTTGGATTACTTTTGACAGTCAATTGAAAATTGCTCTATTTATTTCTGTTTTGCTTACCCCAATGTTGTCATGGAAATAAAGGCCCACCAAAACCCGTTCCCCGATCCACGCCAAAATGAGCGAGGAAACTCTTCTGGGTTGTACTTTGTGTCCTGAGGAGAGAAAATACCTCACTGCTTCAGAGAGCCTCAAAAAAATAAAGATATTGGTGAAACGATCAAAATAGTACCCTAAATTCATATATTGTAATGGATAAGTAACATTAATAGGACTGACTGGAGTCCAACCGAGTCTGTAATCATACGAGTGATTAACAAATCGGACTACCGCGAAGCTGGAGTCTGATTTGTTAATCATTAGTATGATTATTGACGGAATTGGACGATAAAAAGTCCTGCTACTAAGCAATCATAACTATGAAAAAATTAGCCGCTGGTTGAACGTTTTTTGAAAAACAAAAACAAAACAAAAAAAAAAAACCCGGTAAATTCGGCGAAATGTGCAACAATATTGTGCGCATGATCTGTATTCTTCACACAGACATGATGCGTCAGCTGACCGATCCCACTATCCAATTACAGGCAAGAGGCGTACACTATCCTTTAAATTCTTAAATCTAGCTGGTGGTAGCCAATCACGTTCGAAAATTTTGTTTAAGTTTTAACTGTGACTGTAATCACCCTTGAGAACAGGGGAGTCAACTTTAATCGTATTTCAACTTAGATGAACCGTCTTGCTGACTCCTTAACTTCTCCGTTACCTATGTAATCACCAAAGAACATTTCTCACCAGAAACCATATAATAATCCCAGCTATAGCAGCAAGAAGCGATGATATGACACAATAGGGCCAAGTTGCAAATACTTCACCCAGTAATCTTTGCGCCGGACTTCGATCGTCGGGTTCGATTATTATAAAGGCCACGCCCGGAGATTCCAACAGAGGAATGTAGCGGTAATCTGAGCCGTAATTTTCTTGCCACTTCCAACCATATACGGGAAAACTGGTGAAAAAAAAATGGTAAAAATGAGCAAAGGGAGATAAGGCTTAAAGGTGCATCTTAATGGGGTCATGGCTTTTACGACTAACGGTCAAAATTTTGGCAAGTTTATGATTAACGATGAGAAATTTTTTTAAACCGTTAACTTTTTTACGACTACCGGTTAACATTTTTCAATATAAACGCTCAACAGCTAAATTTTTGACCGTTTTACGGCTAACAGTTAACCCCATGGAGACCCTCTTAAAGCCTGAACCGCATATAAACAAGGCCTTACTCCAAAGCTATCTTGTCCAACATGCATAGCTGACGTCGTTACTATGTTTTGTTTGTTTGTTTATTTAACCTTAATTTTTATATCTTTTTAGAGCTCCGAAAACAGATCCTGTGAAGAGCTTTCACCTTCGAACCTCGGGCCCGTTTGTCGAAGGTTCCAGGCCCGTTTGTCGAAGGTTCCGGGCCCGTTTGTCAAAGGTCCCGGGCCCGTTTAGCGAGGGTCCCGGTAACTCAACGGGCCCGCAAAGCAGTTTTTTTTTCATTTAAGATAGGAATTTCAAAATAGTGGAGAATTATGCAAGAAAACAGTCAGCTGAAGAAACAAAATGGATTGGTTGGACTGTCAGAACCTGCTTCTCTATTCTATAAACTTCGATTTAAAGATATGGCTTCCGGTCTGTTAAGTTGTCAGTACCTTCGAGAAACGGGCCCCTGGGCCCTTATGAACTAATCAAGTCTGTTAGCTGAGTCCTCTTGGCTAATCAAGGGAGCTTGCTTGCTTGGCAGCCTCGATGCATTACCTACCTGAGGTCGTTGCGATCTTCAATCAAAAGCTTCATGTTTCTTTCGCTTTCCTGCTTAGCTTCACCATTGGTGCCGTTGTACATGAAGTCCACAAACGATTCTCCGTGAGATGCGCATGTCTGACAGCACGTGACTATAAGGTCATTGAGGATTTGAGGGAGCATCCCTGTCATGTTCTCAACACTAATGTTTCCAGTATGAGTTAATGGGAATTGGTTCACGTATGGTGGGAAGAGGCGATAATTGGTGGTCAGGCGCTTGTGACAGCGACAAGTATCTAGAAAAAAAATGAGGAGCAAAGTTTGACATTCGAGCCCGCGAACGAGACGAACGGTTCGTGAGGGGTTTTGTGCGACAAATGAGAGCCGATGTCGGAAGCTCGCGGATCTCTCGTAAACTTGCAACGCTCGCACCTCGAATGGGCGTTGCCACTCGTGACACAGCACCAATGAGAGGCTACTTGCATGCTAATAATACCCTAGCAGCAAAGCTGAAACATCGAGAGAACGTTCTTACCGACCACGACTCTTCTTCCTAACCCTTTGGCAAATAAAAACATTAATTTCATGTGCCCCTTCAGTGGAAAGAATTTCAACTAATTTCCTGAACACAACTGTGGGGAAGACACCATACCTCCTGCGGTGATCGCACTCGGTCCATCCCCCATGCGGCTAAATCCGGACACTTTGATCTGGTAACGAGTATATGGATCCAATCCTTCAAGAACAATTTCAAAAGTATCTTTTCGAACAGTTATGTTGTAAGTTGGCTCTTCCCCCTCCTCAACTTCCTGGTCTCCAATCCTCACGGCCCTGTAGAACACGCGGTAACCAAGTAATCTCCCCAGTATCAACTCGTCGTCAATTGGTCCCCACGTGACATTAACAGAGGTAGTTGTGGTGTAGTTGTACGCTGTTAAGTTCAGTGGCGTACTTTTAGTTCCTTCAAGTCAAAGAGAAGCTGAATTAACGGATTAAAAAAGCAAAATGCATACTTTTTAAAATGTAACAAGATTTAGGTGTAGGGGCCTCGCCCTTCAAAACGCAAAGCGCACGCTTAGTGCACCGAAACAAGGCTTGTGCATATCAATAAAGGCGGGGAGGGGGGGGTTGGTAACTAAAATAAAGAACTTTTCTCTAGCTGTTTGATAGCCTATTCACACCAAAACTTAAACATGTTTTAAAGCTGTTTTGTTAAACAAGGATTAAGATTTTTTTTTTCATAGAAGCTGCTTAAACCGATGTTTACTGACTTCATATTTGGCACATTGAAAATACAAGTTAGTGAGTACTGGAAACCCCATGGAAAATTCAGTTTTTGTCTGTGTCGAATTTTCATTCAGTTTAACCCGGTTTAACTAAACATATTTTGCTGGCGTGAACATGATGGTGTATAAGACTCAATACCACGAAAACTACATTATTTTTGGCGGAACATATCCCTAATTTTACTCCTTCTTCTCTAAACACTCACCCAGGTTGTCCGGTAATGCCAGATCCAAAGTAGTATTCCCCTCACCCTTCCTTGTAAATGCAACGATCCCAATGGTGTAATTGGCAAAAGTATCCAGATCAAAAAGAAACGCGTATAGTATGTCAGCGGTTGTGTTTGCAACCCTCTCCCCTTCGACCCCATCCAGCCGCCGATACTTGACTCTGTATCCGAGAATTATTCCATTGTGGCAGTGCTCAGGGACTGGTTTCCACTTTGTTAGGAGTGAAGTCAGACCCGGGACATCGAATGTGACGTCTTGTGGTGGCAGACAAGGGACTGGAAGAGAAATTGGTTGAAAGCATGGATGTAATATGTAATACAAAAAGTAATCCCTACAGCGGCTATTTTCATGCAATAAACTTTGTAGCCAGGGTTTCCTATCATACAGTAGCCTGTTCCAGGCGTTTAGTAAGTGAAACGGAGCAAAACAGTTAACGGCGGGATAGTGGCGATGGAGTGAAAAGACGAGGGAGGTCTGGGTCAGGTCAGGTCGGGTCGCCCTAGGCCACCCCCGAGTTTTTCGCTCCTTCACCCCTATCGCGCTATTTAACACTGGACTCCTGGAACAGAGTAATTATAATAAATCGTCTATCGCTTTTTCTTCTCTTATCATTTAAAACTATCAATAGAAATAATTTTGTTCCAGCCACTGAATCATAATTAATGCAAATAAATACTTGATTGTTTTATGGCAATACCTCCTTCGTCCGTCCGAGCCATGTAAGGCTCACTGAATGGTCCCCGGCTGATTGTAAACGCGGCAATTTTAACATGGTAACGGGTCCAAATTCTGAGTCCTGTCAAGGTATGCTCAAAGGAATCATGTGAGGCCCTCTTTCTCCTTCTTTTGTCAGCACTAGCACCTGAGGCACTACTGGACATATTAACGTACTGAACATTACTTGGATCATCAACTAACCAATAGGCGATTACAAAACCTCTTATAACGCCATTACGGTCCTCATACGGGACTTGAGACCACGTGACTAGTAAACTCGTGGAGCTTTCGTTGTTGACGGCGGAGACTCCCGTGGGGGGAGAGGACGGGGCTGTAGAATTATAAAAATGATAACAATAATAATAATAATAATAATAATGATAATAATAATAACAATGATGACAATAATATTGTATATAAGTAAAACGCGATCTTGTCGTTGGAAGAATGTAGCGTCAGATAAGTATTCAAAATATAACCCCAGAGATATGATCTAGGGAGGGGGATCTGAACCTCCTCCCTCGCCTAGAATCTTTCCCTCCCCCTGAATTTGCCAATGACTTTCCATTCCCCAAAAACCCGTAACAACTCATGAGCTACCTGCTTCTGCTGTTCGTATCTCTAAAGGGATACTGTACTCGCTGTCACCAGTGGTGTACATCAGAATGCGGATGCTATAAAGGGTGTATTCATCAAGGTCAGACAAGGTCCATGAGAAGTCTGTGGCTCGTTTTCTTCTCACAGATCCTGATCCGGTTAGCTGTACGTTTAACTCGCTAAGTGGTATACGCCTATACTCGGCCGTGGAATTCCCTTTATCCTTTCTGCATAGATAAGAAACAAACAGGCAAACAAAAAAACTGATTAGAAAAGACTGGGAAAAAATAAAGAGTAAGTTTCCAGAGAAACTGTGGTGCTGTGCTGTTGGAATAAGGGGAGGGGGATTGGCATCACAAGATCATTTTTTTTTTCATCAACTGAGTTGATAATGTTAATTGGCAACCGTAAAGAGTTTCTAAAGGTGATATTTCGAGCGTTAGCCTTACGATATTCGGTCTGATGAACCTCAAGGTAGAGAGAGGTTTTGTGAGAACACAGTATGTTGCCTGAAATCACATCAAACAGACCCATGCCCGTTCCGCCTTTGGTCTCGGAATGAAGCATGATAGAATCAGCCCTCCTTATCTAAGGCCCGATTTAATGCTCATTTGTAATATGACTGAGAAGTTTGCAATCGAATAAGCCAATAAAGTTCCACTGCAGTGTACACTAAAAATCTCTTGCTGTGCGTTTCCTTTCAGCAAATCTAAGTTAATTAATCATACCTGTAATACATGATGGTAAATCCCCGTATAACCCCATTCCAGTCTTCCTCCGCTGGAATATCCCACTCTATCGTTGCTTCCCGCGGTTTGACATAAGCAGACCTGAGATTGCGAGGAGGGGAACTCGGAGCTAAGGAGTAAAATATGTTCATGGCTTAATTTCCGCAATTAAAACTAAAGCACGTTATGAGGATCCATTTGCTTATATAGTTCTGCAGCTCCCTTGTAAGGTTTGCTTTAAACGTATTGAGGGAAAGAAAGTCTCCTTTTGCGTCAAGTAGTGGTTGATGAGAGCTCGTAAACTAAGCTTTTTTCACTCCTCTTAAGTTGTGGATGATACGCGTCCTACATACCGCTAAGATCAGCAATTTATGTAGAAGTATGAAGTATGCAGGACGCGTGTCATATGAACTTCATAATAGGCCTCGCCCACCATAGAGTCTCTGTGACTCAGTAGTTGAGCATCGGTGCGCGGATTCCGAATGTCTGAGGTTCAATTCCTCATTGGGACATCTTTCTCTATTTTCAAAGTTCTTTCAGCGATTTATCAACTGGAATAATTCTTTCATTTCTAAATGCCCGTCTAGCGAGGATGGCACATTAAAGTTGCAGAATATTTATCAGGCCATAGGTAATTTTCGTTTCGTTTCGTTTCAGACTCCAAAGCAATCCGCAGCTTCTCCTTACACCATCAACAAATTACATGATACAACATTGTCTAATGCACCAACAGATTCTCGCAGTTATCGTTAAAAAAAACCCTGCATTGCGCTGTGAGAATTTATCATTCAACGTGAGTGAGCACATACCATCCTCCGCTGTCTTGCAATGAAAGGTATCACTTGCATTTCCTTTGCCATAGATGTTATAGGCAACAATGCGAAACTCGTACTCGGCGTATTTTTCAAGGTTTCCCACAGTAAAGACCGTCTTGTTTGCTTCTGTAACATCTACCTCATCAAAAGTGTCATTGGAACCAGCTTTTCTATAATATATATAGTAACCTGTTACAGCTCCGTCGGGGTCTGTGTGCGTGTTTGTAACGCCATCCCAAGACAGAACACAGCTTGTAGAAGTTTTGTTGCTCAGGCCTAAATTTTCAGGAACCCGATCCGGCGCTAAAAAGTGACAAAATTCGTTAATCATATCTGCTTCGACCAGTTACGATATTAACAATGCAAATAAACATTTATCAAAAGAGAGAACTTTGCTTAAGAATCCACGCCTCTAAGTTCCAAATAATACCATAACCAGACCAATTGAAAATGCGTTTACCGCTCTTATTCATTGTAATAGATTGCCATAAGATGGGAAAAAGAGAAACTTCTTTACATCGCTTCTATCTAGAATGAACGTTTGCTAAGTCACGTAGCTTAAACCATCACACTCCAACATCAGTTTGCCTAAATTATTCACCATACTGTTCTCTAGACATTTCCTAAGGCACTGACAAGGAAAACTTGTATATCATCCAAGATGATGTTTGATTCAACAATATGACTGAAAGGAGGAATTAGATGCTAGTCACTCTTAAAGGTTTCGTCTGAGCAACTTACGCGGGAGAATTTTGCTGTCCGTGGAAACCACAACTGGTACGCTTGCGTTACCGTCAGCCACTGTGAATGCTAACACTCGGATTTTATACTTTGAGTCGATCTCAAGCTCTCTTATTTCAGAGGACAATGTATCTGCATCAACAGTTATATTTTGATCTTCACTTTGTGAGTCGTTCAGATTCTTATAGATGATTCGATAACCACGCAAGACTCCGTATAGTGGCCCTGGTAGGGGACTCCACTTGACAAAGATACTGCGGGCGCTGGTGTTGTAATATTCGGTGATTTCCGGTGACGTGGTAGGAGCTGAGGTATTTGAAAACAGCAAAAAAAGAAGAGTGAGTAGGAGGAATTATGAAAATATCTTTAATTAGCTCAAAAGTGACACTCTCATTCTTAATCTTCTTGATAACCTTCTTTCCATCCCCCCCCCCTGCTTTGTCCTTCATTCCTCTAGAAAAAGTCGCTTTTAAAGGGGGGATTACCAAAGCGTACTTGTACGCATTGACCAATTGTGGAAAAATTCCAGGTCCCGGTTGTGTGAAGGTTGGATAACACTATCCACTGAATAAAACTCTGTCCGGTGGATAACGCTATACGTTTTGCTATCACTAATCCGCCGGATAGCGATTTATCTGTTGGATAGCGTTATCCGCTCTTTTGTACAATAGGGCCCAGAAGCCTAAGGACTAATAGAGAAATCTCTAGAGTCAACTGACACTTGTTCCTTTGCGTGACAATTTTAAAAGAGGCAAGTAACGTTGTCTTTTTCCTACACTTTTGAACCTCACCTTCGAGCTAGATGGAAAAAACTCTGCTGTCCCATTGAACCAGTCTCTTTCGGCAGTGACCTTTGTCCCGATAACATAACATATATGAAATTCATATATCTAAAATCTTCGTATCGATATTAAATCACAGCAGTTCGCACCAAATGTTCTTCAGTGCGATTTCGTTTTTGATGAAATCATTTCTCTTATCGTATTTCCCAATACAAACAAAATTATTCCTTGTATATATAATTTACAGGCTAAATCCTTTCTATTTAACTTCTGCGTTTGTATTTTCAATCTGAGATTTCTAATCTTATTTCTGTGCACGGATTGCACTACAATGATGGCATGTGCTCGAGTGAAGGTTTGATCGCCAGCGCACGGATTACACAGCCTTAAGGATAAAACGAATGGTTTCGATAGTAATGATTGAAAAGGAAACAAAATATTCCTTACCGAGTTCTCCAGAGGTGACAAAGATAGGCTCGCTGTAGTTACCATAGGTAACAGTTTTGGCGGCCATCTTTATGGTGTAATTCGAGAAAGGCTGCAATTCGAGTAGCTCTTTACACATAACTTCAATTCTCGCTTGCACATAAATTGATAAGATGTTACTATCCTCCGTCGAGTATTCTATGCGGTACTCTCTAACGATACCGTTTCTTCCTGACTCGGGGACTGGATCCCATGAGATCATGATGCTATGCGCACTTGTGCTGTATCCTTTGATGTTTTGTGGAGGCAAAGTGGGTGCTAAGAGAGGTAAAAGAAGACAATATCGAAATAGTTTATTCACGCGAATTGTAGTAGATAAGTTTTGTGAAAAACCTTATAACGAGTGTAAGCTCTCGGGATTCATGAACAAAAGTGTTGTCTCGCCCGGCCGAGCGTCGCACCGATGCAACATGTATTAAGTCATGTTACGTCACGACAAAGATAATGACTGCGGTCTCAAACAAAAGTTCTTTCCTACTTTCTGCAGCGCCCGTTGGTAGTCAGATCGGAAACAAATATCCCTGAAATAAACAAATAACTAATAAAATAAATGAATGCAGCATTCCCACCTTACCTGTTTCGTTCGTGAGACATTCAACCGCTTCACTAAAATTTCCCCTGCCAATGTTATTGTGCACAGCCACTTTAATATTGTATGAGGTAAATGAATGTAGCGAGTTGATCTTCACTCTGGGAGAACTGTGGCACACAAGCGCTACAATGGAGAGTTCGTCAGCCGATGATTGGTCAGCGGAGTCATTTTTTACCACGTAAACTTCATAACTGAACAGTTCACCGTTGACAAACTGTCTAGGTATACCATTCCAGGCCACTTCGCAGCTGGTCGGCGTGGCAGATTCAACTGAGAGACCCGTGGGGCTAGCTGATGGCTCTGTCAAGGTAAGGATAAGATATTACTCATATCTAACAATCCATAATTTCTCAAGGATTTCGGAGGCGTAGTGTCTCAGAGAGTTAACGCACTAAGATGTAAGTCGAAATTATTCGGCTCAGGCCGTAGAAAATTCATGGTTTCCGTGCTTTAAGGCAAAAAAAAACACTCGACTCTCACGGTACCCTCGAATTCTTGGGAAAACCTATGAAAAAATTTGGCGACAACCCTCGATATTCTCCTTTTCAGGCAATGAACGTTAAAATTTACCGCCTGTAGAACCTCTCATTAACGTTTAAAATTGATTGGAATTCTTGAAAATTCAACAGGTAAAAGGATTCCTTTACCGGTTTGAAAATTTATTTTACCTGTCATGCGTAAAATAAGGGAGAACACTTCAACCCTGCATCATTTTTTGCCAATATTATCGAGGAAATAACTAAACCGATAGAAGAAAATTTAATACTAAGTTTGGTATGAGACTTCGTCGAGGAGGTTATTTAACACTATTCATTAAGCCTTAGGCGAACTTCGTTTATTATTATTATGGTTTTTTTTTTTATTTTTCTTTTTGCACTATTGTTGTAAAGAGCCACGGACAATTTATATTGGAGGTGTGCACTTTGGAAGCATTCCACTATTTTTATATTTATCAAGGCTTCGTAACAGCACGAAGATATCACTTTGATTAACTGCGCGATGCTTTTGAAGTTCACTTTCTTTTAAAATATTTTTTAATGAAGACAAAACATGTTTCGGATGAAACATCATCCATCGTCAGTTGTATAATGAGAAATCAAATGAAATTATGCAAAAAAATAATACAACAGAGTGAGATGTTAACAAGAGTAACAAAAAAAGTGAAACTATTTAAGCTACGAAGGGAGACTAATTAGTAGGAAAGGGATAAATTAAGATGTTTGACCTGGGAGTTTAAAGACGGCTGCTCCCAAAGGATGTGCATGGCTTCCTTAATTTTCAATTGGAAGCTTGTGGAAGCAGAGTCCAGAATCTTAAAACAATATCTGTTATACTATCTATTATAGTATAAATAATACTTACTATTTACGAAAAGATATTTGTTTGAAAGTTATCGAAAGAGTTACTTACTATCCCCCATGGTAAAACATTCGACTGGGCTGCTGTAATTTCCAGTGCCTTTTGAAGTAAGTTCGGCTAATTTAATCGAGTAGTTGGTGTAAGGTTTTAGACCACTGAGAACAAAGTTTGTTTTATTGGAGCTTGTTGTAACATTTGAAGGATTCGTGGAGTGATTCAAAGACGTGTACTCAATCCTATACCCCAGTAGCATTCCTTTACGTTGGTAGATGGGGATTGGAGTCCAGTGAAATGAACAGGAGGTGGGCTCGAGTGAAACCATATTGTGAATCACTGGACTTTCAACAGGAACTGAAGAAAAAGAAACGAAGAGAAGAATATTTAGTTTTCAAAATGCGTACTACATTGTGCATTTTGTTCATATCAAATGCAGAATATTTCGTTCCCTTGTGCTTCTACTTCATCGACAAGTTGGATCGGGGAAAAAATATGTTTAGTTACACTATGATATGTATGGGTCAATTGACTATCAGGGTAAGGTGCTTGCAAAAGAGTGGAAATACACCTTCTTACGTTCGACTCCTAACACCACCTCCAAACAAACCATGAAATCTAAAACTCTCCGTTGTTTTATGGATACCGAATGGTTTTAGAACCTTTTTTGTCGGAGTATTGTGAAACTTGAACCAAAGGCCAATCAGAATAATGAAAAAAAACTACAAGGAACCGATGGGAATCCAAGTTCTTACCGTCCCCAAGAGCAGGCCGCGATTGGATCAGATGTTGAATGGTGGGGAGGACCGGGAGCTACAAGTCATCCAATCAAAGGAAGACCCGAACTTTGAATCAGTCTGGCTGATCAAAGAGTGCAGAGAAGTGAAAAGTAATCCTAGATTTGTTTGGATGAAGCTTTAAGAAGCTAAGCAACTGCGCACCTACCCCTCCCCTAACTCAACACTAATCCTGAATTGTTGACTGTTGTTGTTTTATGGAGGGGTAGATCCGCAGTTGCTTTGATAGCAATATTGATCCATAACTTTCGACCCTCATTCATAGATTTTTATAGACTCACGGTCTTCATCTGTCAACAAGCACACAGCACGGCTGTTAGGACTATCAGCCACAGTGAACACTGTAATCCACAGACAGTAATTGGTGTACGGCTGTAAACCCTTAATGTCATAAGTAGTCAATCTTGCATCGAAAACCGTCTCATTCCTCGACGCCATCTCCCTTACGACATAGTTCGTTATATTGTCACCGTACTTAGTTTCATATACAGTTTGGCTGATAATATCTTCAGCTTTGGTGAAGAAGATCCGGTGTCCCCGCACCAACCCCGGGGTACGTTCCGAATGACTCGAAGGGTCCCAGGATATCCTGATGCTAATGGGACTGGTGGCAAACGCGACTACGTTGACCACGGGCCAGGAAGGGGCTAAATAAGGAGAAAATTAGACATATTTTAAAGATCATATTCAAAAGAACGCGAAAAGCAGTAGGAAATAGTACATGAATGGATGGAGGCAGTGTGGCCGAATGGTTGGTTGAAGGCCCTCCACCCGGCTGCTCACAGGATTTGTTCTCAGTTACACCGAGTTCAATTCCTTGGCTGCACTTTGTGTATAGCCAACTGCTCTGCCCTCTACAAGTTGGGGTTTCTGTTTATTTATCACGTTAATCAGTTTTCGATTTGTTGGAATTTAATGGCCACGAGTTTATTAGTCTGTAAGTGTTTAGTGTTACCCTCAATAAATAAAGTCTTATTATCACCATTATTTTTAGTATTCCAATAGGGAACAACGAATTGGATAAGAACTCTGGGGAACGATGGCTGATCTTTGCTTTCCATCGCTTCACTCGATTTTAAAAAAGCAACACAACTCGATCGCATTTTTCGCAATTTGGAGGGCGTTAACAAGCAAAGGCTTCCCACGTATATTTTAATTAGGGAAGAAATACTTACTTCACATATTCAATAATGACAACATATGGCCTTTCTTGCAATTTGGAGGGCGTTAACTAGAAAAGGCGTCACAAGTATATTTTGATTTCGGAAGAAATAGTAGCTACATGACAACATATGGCTTTTCTCGGAACTCACGAAGTAAAGTTTTCCCAATATTTTGATAAACGTATCTAGGAAAAGTCAACATGTTCTCTAATCGTTTTTTCTGGTCCACAGACAGTTCGAGATAAATTTTTACTATATAGTTGATTGACTTTTTTTTCAGTGAGTAAAATGGACGAGCAATTTAAGAGTAAGGTCTGGAAATTCAAGCATTTCACATGGTGGTGGTGTGGTGGCCTTATGGTTAATGCGCTCGAGCCCCGGCCGGAGTCACTGTGTTGTGTTCTTAGGCAAGACACTTTACTCTCACAGTGCTTCTCTGCACCCAGGTGTACAAATGGGTAACAGCAAATATGCTGGGGGTAACCCTGCGATAGATTAGCATCCCATCCAGGGGGGAGTAGCAATACTCCTAGCCGCTTCATGCTAATGAGCCACTTGGGCTTGTATAAAGGCTTTACATATCGTTGCTTGACTTTTTTTCAGTGAATAAAATGGACGAGCAATTTAAGAATAAGGTCAAATTCAAGCATTTCACATGCTTACGTACCTGTTTCGTCGGTGGCTATGGTTATACTAGCGCTTATTCCTTCACCCTCAAGACTAACTGTTGATACATTTACAGTGTATTTTGTGTAAGCTTCCAGATGTGTAATGTTTAAGTTGGGAGAAAGTCCTTTCGTATCATCGACCTTTATTCTTGTCCACTCGTTACTGACTGTTGATGTTTCTTTGTAGTCAACCACATAACCAACTAATATGCCAGGAATGTCTTCATCGGATGGTGTATTCCAGGACACCTCCACTGAGTGTGGACCAGTAGCTAGTGCCTTTAATCCGGAGACTGGGGTACTTGGAACTAACAAGCGTCAGCATTACAATAAAAGAGACTTAAGTAATGTAATTTTCATTTAAAAGCTAAAGAGCTAAAACAGTAACAGAAAAAAAAATTGTAACAGAAAAAATATTCATGAAGGTATCAGTCGAAACACGCTAATACTAAATAGCAAACGGATAGAAGGAGCGGATGAAAAGAAAAAATAAAAGAGAGGATGGAAGGAAAAGCAGAGAGACAAACAGATATACAGATAGTCAGACAGGCTGACAGACAGACAGAGGCCGACAGACTGACATACAGACAGACAGACAGACAGACAGGCTGACAGACTGAGAGACTGACAGAGCGACAGAATGACAAACAGATAGTTAGACCGGCAGATTGACCGACGGAGTGACGGACAGCCGGACAGATAGAGATTGACTGATTGACAAACAGATGGACTTCAGACTAATAAATTTATATGGAAAACTGAAATAAAATTACGTAGCAAATTCAGAAAAAAGTATTGGCCTTTCGTTAGCTGTTATGGTTGATTCAATTTGACTAACATTCATTTAGGTACCAATAATACAAAGAGACATAAAGACCACGAAGGGACATGCACACACTTGAAAATTCATCGTAAAGTCGACATAACAAACCATTGTCATTTCTACTTCTGAGGAGTACGATTCCAGGGACATTAAATACGTTTGCGCGAGGAATCCAATTATCCAATAGGAAACCAAGCTGTTTGTATCCTGCACTGTCATAATGAAGGGTCAAGTTACATGACACCCGTCCACCATCGTCCCTGCAGAAAGAAAAATTTTCTCAGCTAATAACTCACAGACTTTATTCACAAATGAAACGTTTTTGATCAGTAATAGCTAAAAAGTGTTCATAAATAGTGAGGTAGAATCTTCCATCTTGCAATGGACCAGGGCAGTTCTAATTGGTCGTTCGACTCCTCTTGTTCTTTAATTTTGAGTAGTTCTAGAGCGCACTCTCGATTTGATAATTTCATATATTGACCTTTTAGATGTATAACTATCTCGGATTATCGAATACTATGGGCTTTGCAGTCCTTGTCTTAAGAGAAATAATAAGTGATGATTAATTCCAAGGAGGTTTCTCGAAGCTAAGTCCTTCATTCCTGTAGATGCCTAATTCCGAGATAATAAACAATCCAGAAACACACGTGGTACGTGCAAAATTGTCGGTAGGTAACCAGATAACTGAGTCTAAAAATGTTCTCATGTATTCGTATAAGTAACCAACAGCCTACCAGCATCCTGATAAAAATATGTTTTCTGAAGTTATGTTAACTTCTTGCATGCTCGAATAGAAGGTAACGATCTGGAAAAAGAGAGGATGTCAATGGATTATTTTATCTTTTCGTGAAAAAGGACGGAACTCAGTGGAAGTCTTCTAACTAACATCCATCCACAGATAATAAAAAAGGTAAAAATTTAAATAATAAATGATTGATACAAAACAAAAACAAGGGAAAATTAAATTTTCAGAAAATTTCAACTAGCTCAATGATCTTAAGACTAGGGCCCCTCCGGCACAGGCCTAGAGGTGCTTACAAGTCCCAAGTGCGGTTATGGTGTTGTCATTATGTTTTCATAGTTCCAGTAACAAACCTCTTTCCTTAAGACTTGAAAAAGCGCTGTAAAATTTTTAGATTCTGGATCATGGAAATCATCACTCCAGGAGATCCCGGTAAACTGAAGGGACAACTCAACGTGAAGTTTTTGGGGACCTTTAAAACGACGAAAGGTCATTCAAACAACAATCAGCACATAAAATTATTTATGTATGACAAATACCAAAAGAAGATCGAACGATGACACTAAATCACGATAAGCAAGACACTAAGATTTGAGAACGAGTTCGACAAGAGTGAGGTTTTCGATCACGGTCCCATCAAAATACTAAGAAAATATACACGTCGGTCTTTTAGTCGACATTTTACAAGAGAGCAAGACTTTTAAATATTTTTTCAATAGATCCGATGTGAGCCATTGAGGCCTTTCTACTTTTTACTTTTTTTTTGTAAATCGACATTTCCCTTAGATACCTCTATATGTGTTGTAAATGTTCACAAATCTGTCTTTCTCAAGAGTCATGCTCCAAATTGCAATCTCGTCAAACGAGGCATTGGGGAAAGATCCAGCACCAATCGTGAGCGATGGACCGTTTGCGGAAGGAGTACTGCATGGGTCACACACTTTCCGACTGACAACTGTTTCCCCATTCCTAATGGTTAACATCCATTTGTTGTTAATATAAATTTTAATATTACGGCTTAAGTATACTTGAGATCTTTTTCCAATAACGTTTCCCATGAAAACTTTTGGTAACGTCTTCCTTTTAAGATTATTTGTCCAGAACCTGAGGAAATTAAATTGTCACAGCTTCTCCTCCAGAAGCATTCTTTGCCTACGCACGTATCCGGTAGTCCGGCACATTCCATTCCGAATAACAGGACTCGATCTATTGTTAAACCTGTACAAAAGAAAGACTTACTTTTGGATGTTAAGAGAGTTTTCGTCACTCTCCCAGGAGAAACCCAGATGTGTCCAAAATCCCTTTGCAACTGAAAATCTGCAAGAAGCCCCCAATGAGCTTGTGCTAATAGAGAGTCCGACTAGCTTTGATTTCGCTTCGTAAAATAATTGTGCCACTGTAAACCCGTTATCTAGAGAGAAGAACAACAAGTTTGCGCGTGCATATACATTCTGGAAGATTTTTGTAATCCCTCGCAAAACAACATTGAATCCAACAAGGACCCAGTCCTCTTCGTTACGAATATATTTTAAGATACTGAGTTATATTTAGTACCGATTCTTACAAAAAGTGAAAAGAAAAAAGGTGCTTTGAACTTCAACGAGCTACTGTCATCTTCAACTTACCGAAATGCAGGAAGGTCTCATTGTCGCCGTTCTCCCTAGGATAATACTTCATCCACATAGAAATACTAAAATCTTCGGAACACTTCCGTATTTGACAAAAGGTGCCATGATTTCCGAGGTCGACCCATCCACTCACACCGTCTAGCTGTATGGCCTGGCCACTAAGACCCTTAGCGACTAGGCTCACCGTACCGTGCGCCTCTCCCCAACCCAGTCTTGCGCGGTCCTTTAAATCTTCGACAGAGTCCAAAGCCCAGTAGGACATAGCATCGTGGTAGAGATTGATAATCTTTTTCGGATCACCTGTTCAAAGTCATAGGCACAAAAGGAAATCTTCTTCTTGATGATATCCTTGCGTTATTGATTTGATCTTTCTTAAGATATCTCATGGTGTAAACATGTTTGAAACCTTGCAAAAACTACACCATTCTAAAATTTTTAATTTTAAATTTTTTTTTAATTTAGTAGCGAGCTAATAAAAATAACAGATCAATGTATATATGAATGGCACCCAGGAGAAGCAATACTGCCCGTCGCTTGAAGATAGAATTTCGCAATTCACGCACGCAAATGGCTGCTGCTAATCAATCACTTTCCAGAATTTTTGTATAGTTTTGA